GTACAATGTAACCATGATGATCCTCGTTTCGTTTTGTGCTTTTCATTCACTTATAAGTGCATGTTCTTATAAGCGACAGTGCTCTTGTATTCGAAAATAAGAACATGGCCTTATAAGTGCGCGAGATTACGGTACGCATAAATTCCTACTCTGAATCCATAGCAGTACTAATCATGTGCGCGTATCGAGAATATCCCGTTTATAATTATCAAAACCAGCACTGTGTGAGCCAGAGAAACACCCCCCCCCCCCCCCCCTCTCTCTCTCTCTCTCCCACAACCATGCCATTCCACCCTGGTTTTTGGGTGCTCACCGTTTAAGGAATCAATTATGCACTCCCGTATTGAAAGACTACGTGCCATATTCTGTTAAGTTTTCTATTGCAAGTACTGTGAACAATTAATTTAGGTCACCGACGTGATCGATTCCCGCCTTTTGGTAGCAGAGTCCTCACCTGCAAACTGAGCACCCGTCTGTGCTTGATCAGGTAGCGGTCACCGATAATGATTGCATGGACTTTCGCTGCACTGTGTGCAATTTGTCTCCGTCCAGGTTTCTTTCCACGGCTCGTGGAGCAGCTATCCGTTCTTCGAGAGCGGCAACGTCATTGTCAACAGCATCGAGCGAGGCCTGTTTGTCCTGCGCCCCAACCACGAGGCCATCAAGAGGCTGCAGGAGGAGGCGAAATTGAAGAGGAAGGCAATTTCCCACTAATCAACTCTGTGCTCAGACACATTGATAGCACAAAAAGATTCCCAATTTTTTTTAAAAAGTACTTTGGATGTGTTTTTCAAGATCTCTCACACATTCCCTAAATTCTCTATTCTTTGATATTGCCTTTAAAACTTTTTTGTCACTACAATTTTCTTCTTATTGGATTTGTTTCCCTGGCTTCAGTCAGATAAAAGGATGGTGCATAATGTGTATGGTGTTCTTCGTTTGGTAGAGGATGATGCACAATTCATTAGGTTGCTGTGAGAAAACCAAGACCTGCTAGATGTGCTAAGAGAAGAATATCCGTACCTGTTGGTTGGGAGCTGAGAAGATTTAATGGTGATGCATCCCCCCCCCCCCCACACACACACACGCGTATGCACGTACGAGACTGACATGTGTCTATTACTCCTCCTGAGGGCAAAGTGCTCAAAATCCGGAGGACAGAGAAAACTATACTGCCGCCGCACCTCCAGCTCGTGGAAGCCCCTTCTCCACAGCCAAAGCCCAAGACACAAAGTTACTCATGTTAATTAATATTTGGCTGAAACTTTGCCCATCAGTCTGAAGCAAACGCACCCGTGCGCACATAAAAGCAAACAGCACTATCCAGGCTGACATGGTTCTCCGAAAAGTACTTGTTAACCGCACTGACCGTGCCTGGCTTAAATTAAGACGCCGAAACACAGAGCGAAACAACAGTTCATGTTCATTTCATTTTTCCAAACTCTTCCAGACCATGCCTCTCGTTTTACATAATCAAATTAATATTATTATCATTTTGACAAAGCGGATGGCGCAATCAACACCCAAGTTGTTCCCTACTCGGAGGATTTCTGGTAGGGATTTGTTCACTGGTACATGTTGTTCCTATACGATATCACAGTTAAATCGAGGTTCAATAAAGGGGCTATTGATAGCAGGTATCGGTGATGCTACATACCTGTAGGCTGCAGGCAATATCTCCTCGCCCTTACTTTTTACAGGCAGGCATAGTGGGATGGTTTAAGACCATGATTGAGAAACAGAGGGTGCCAGGTTCAAGTCCTGCTTGGAAGCGGAAGAATTTTTTCTAGCCGTGCTGCGACCCACAGTTAACTGAGAACTCGTGGCCTGGCACGAGGAAAACAACGATGCAGTGAATGGGATTTTCGGTCTTTCACCACTTGCTGGTGAGCTGATCTACTCACCTCCCACCGCTTTAGGAGCTGCATCTGCGCCTTGATCCTTGAAGGGTGGTGGCGTTCCTACGGATGCGGAAAACCCGGCTTCCAGCCGAGTCTCACGCGAACCGTGAAATTAATTTACTTTTTGCAAGAGCAAAGCGCTTCATAAGTGGTTCACAGTCATTAATTCACAATGCCAATCCATTATTCCTGTTTCACCAGGCAGCAGTGACTCTTTGTTGAGTATGCCTCCACGTGACCGGGAAATGAGAAGGTGAATTGATGAAGAACGCTCTGCCCGTGACAACGGCTAGAGACGGTAGGCAATCATAAACGCATTCCGGCAGTCCTTCAGCCATGGCGTAAAATGGTTGTCGACAAGTCATTACCAGAGGTAATAGAGGTCTCTTTCCATTGGACATTTCCAGTTGTGTGAAGGTGTGTTTGCTGGTCAGATTGGTCCAGTGACAGTCAGATGGGATGATTGGTTTTGGACAGTCAATATCCAAATTGTAAATATCCCAGTCCGTGGCGGGATTGACTTGGTGGTGGTGATGGTGGTGGTGCTGCTGCTGCTACTGTTGCTGCTTCTGCTGCTATTGGTGTTGCTGTTGGTACTGGTGATGGTGGTCGTTTGTTTGTTTGTTTATTCTGTTAGGGAATCTAAACTTGTCAATCGGGGTGGGAGATAATTCCAAAGTGCACCAGTTTCTGTAGGAAGGGACATGAGAAAATGCGGCCATGTGAGTTAAAAATGAGCTTTTTGGGCCTACGGGCACTACGTGAGATGGTAATCGCAAAGCGAGAGAGATAGTCTGGGTGGAAATTGATGTACTTAAATAAACAACCAGAGAAATGAAGTATATGTAACAGGCAGGCTGGCTTGTAGCGGTCAGCCATATTGCGATGAAGAAGGCATTTGGTTTAGATAGAATGACCCCAACTGCATTAGTTCTACAACGGTGTCATCTGTATTCGTTTGAGCAAAGAGTTAATTTGAAACTATACGTTTTGGTCTATCGCTGCTTGTCATGAATTGCTAGCCCCCTCCTTCAATCACTGTTTCTTCTGCGTTCAGCTGGCCCGCACACAAATGCTCGTACATAAGTACTCGTGGCCAGGATGACCGTAGTCTAAATGTGAAGCTGGATGGAACTCACTCTTCTCAATACAGTCAAATCTGTTGTAAGCGACCGCCCCTTGGTGCAAGAAAAAGCGGTCGCTTACGGCAGATGGTCTCTTACGGCAGATGTATGGTAAATCCGGCATACCAGGTATATGCTTCCATGATTGTACTCAAATCGACGAGGATAATGTGATTTTTAATATCATTTTTATTGGATATTCCACGACGACCATACCCGTATAGTACGCGTATGCAACACGGCAGTAGATCGACACTGCCTGGACTTGAGAGCTACAGCACAGCCTCAGTACTCGTACAGGCCAGGCGCCAGTCGATCGCACTTGCAAGACAGCGCATTTTCACACTTTGCAGTTGACAGCGCACTGGCAAGTACAGTTTCGCACCTTACTGAACCTGGGTCGCGGTCGCTTACAGCAGATTTGAATGCAGCCACCGTGCATGAAATCGCGGTCGCTGGTCGCGCACAGCAGATGGTCGCTCTGGACAGATCAGTTTGTATGTGAAACCGTCGGTGCACGGAAAATCGGTCGCTAACGGTAGATGGTCGCCTACAGCAGAGGTCGCTAACGGCAGATTTGACTGTATATGCTAAATTGTGGTGTTCCCCAGGGTTCGTACCTTGCCCCTCCCCTTTTTCTTTTGTATATCAATTCCCTTCCTGACAATAGTAAAGCACACCTCACCCTTTCTCTTTGCTGATGATGTCACTCTTCTAAATGCTCATAATGTATCCCTCTCCTTAGATGAGAACATGTCCCACCTCCAGCAGGATCTGGCCAGCTGCCAGAAATGGGCTCAGAATATCCATGGGAAATTTTCTCCAGAAAAAAACTTTCATCTTTTCGAATCATGACATTCCTGACTCCTCCTCTGTTTTAATGGACGGCGTTCCTATTGCCTTTGGACGTTCTGCTAAGCATCTCGGCGTACAGCTCAGTGATGGTTTGAAGTTCCATGACCACTTCCACACCATCTTCAGGAAGTTTCAGCAACGAGTCAACCTGTTGTGTTTCATGGGCAGACATTTACCATCGTCCCATATTCTCCTCTTGTATAAGTCTTATGTGCGTCCGGCAATTGAATATGCCATTCCTGTCTGGTCATTTAGGATCACATCCGCTCAGTTAGAGTCCCTTGATGTACTCCAGGCTAAGGTTTGCCGGCGACTCCTGAAGTCTGCAAAAATAACCTTTGATGTCTATGAATCAAAATCCAATTTGAATAGATTGTGTCACTTAGAATCTCTGCAATTTCGCCGTATCTTTATTTCTCTTGTTGTTTTATTTAAGGGGGCAGCCTACCCATAAATTTCATATGGCATTCAATTGACCGTAACTTTGGTGTTTCTCAGTGGATTTGAGTGAAATTTTGACCACACACTCCTGCCACTATGCTGGCCCTCAGGACATGATTTACAAGTTCTTGCGCCTCACTGACAGGCTTTCCAGGCCGGAAAAACTCAAATTTCCGGCATAGTGCCACGGTGTGCGAGCCACCCAGGAGCCAAACAAATGCATTTACATTTTTTCACATTTTCGTGCCCATTCTGTCCGTGCGCGGGACCCAAACCTAAAACAAGTCCAGAAGCAGCCATGGGTGGTGGGGTAGGGCCCCTCAACGTGGCCCTGGAATCTGTCACAACGGAACGAGTGGGCGTTCTCTCGCGGACTCCCACAGACCCAAGTCAATTTTTGAATTTTTTAGGTTTAGGGTGTGCTACGAGGTCGTACCTTTGATACAACATCCAGTGCTGGGACCTCCACAGCAAGCCATTTCCACAGCGCTGCACACCAAATCCAGGATGCCCTCAGAAACCGGCAAAGACTGCCACTCACGTTTCACTACTGCCTAGTACTGAATCCTACCTGACTTCTTGACACGACTCAAACTAAGTTACTTGCCAAAGTCACTAAATCAACGTCAACTACAATAATCAAGCCACATATCTGCAACGTCACGAGGGTGCTGGCAAAAGTCCTGCTGCACGGCGGCGGGCTTCGCCCGCCGCCGTGCAGCCCAATACGTGTTTTTTTAACGTGATTTTTTGGACTTTTTTGGACTTGGGGCAAAATTCTGCACACTTTCGCGTGTTTCCATAATACGACAAGTTGCGCACGGTCTGCTCACATTCAAATACAGTGCTGCCAACAAATGACAGCATGCAACAAAAAAATCTTTCCTTGCAAGGGCACATTTTCGGCCATAACTCTTGAACGGCTGGTCAGATAGGGACACAATTTTCAGAGAATTTGCAGCTATTCATGCTCTTTCAACTGACGTAGCACTCAATATGAATTTACAAATTCGATTTTTCAGCGAATTTTTGGGTAGTCTGCCACCTTAAGTACATCAATTTCCACCCAGAATATCTCTCTCGCTTTGCGATAACCATATCACGTAGTGCCTGTAGGCCCAAAAAGCTCGTTTTTAACTCACATGGTCGTATTTTTTCATCCCTTTTCCTACAGAAAACTGGTTCTCTTTGGAATTGTCTTCCACCCCGATTGACAACTTTAGATTCCCTATCTGAATTCAAGCGTCATTTACGTATTCACATTGCTAAGTATCAGTTCGACTGCACTGGTACACCTTTGGTGTGCAATCATTGATTTACATGCTTGTTCTTTTCTTTTCTGTCTTATAATACTTTCTTTCTTTGTGTTTCTTATTATTCCTTTTTCAAACCAACATTTCACACTCACTTTGCGCACTTTCTCTCGCATCCTTAAAGGGGAAGTTAAGGCAAAAATTAAAATTTCACCAGTTGTAGTCTTCGGGGTGTTGAGTCGAATGGTCTTGGTCCGAGGAAGCTGAGACGCTCCCTTCCTACTTGAATCCCAATCGAACTCGCGCACTTCCACCGAAACTGGGTGACTGCGCCCCACTAGATGGGGATTTGTATGCAAAATGTCACTAAAATCGCCATTTCGTTCTTATAAAAGCACGGATGACCGCGATTGGCCCATATGTTGTACTCTTTTGGACGCTGAGTCGACTGGTTTTGGTCCGAAAAGGCTGCGATGCAGCGTTCCTCCTTTATTCCCAATCGAACATGGTTGAACAAGCGGTCACGTGATCCTGGGTGCCCAAATCACCTGGTCACCAGACTCACCACGCCAGCACTGGCCCATATCGCCCAGCAGGCGACAACTTTCACACCAAGGTTCAACTCGAGTGACAGGACTGCACCCAAAAAAGGTCAAACAGGCTAGTAAGCTGTACCCTGCAGGCGCGGTGACCAGGTGACTGGTGTACGCAGGAGCACGTGACCGCTTGTTCAACCATGTTCGATTGGGAATAAAGGAGGAACGCTGCATCGCAGCCTTTTCGGACCAAAACCAATCGACTCAGCGTCCAAAAGACTACAACATATGGGCCAATCGCGGTCATCCATGCTTTTATAAGAATGAAATGGCGCTTTTAGTGACATTTTGCATACAAATCCCCATCTAGTAGGGCGCAGTCACCCAGTTTCGGTGGAAGTGCGCGAGTTCGATTGGGATTCAAGTAGGAAGGGAGCGTCTCAGCTTCCTCGGACCAAGACCATTCGACTCAGCACCCCGAAGACTACAACTGGTGAAATTTTAATTTTTGCCTTAACTTCCCCTTTAACTATGTTACTAGTACATACACAAATAGGAGATCCCCCCGATAGGCGTTAGCCTTTGGGTAATCCTGAAATAAAGATTATTATTATTAATACTACTACTACTACTATTAGGATGACCAAGAGTACGTACAGGGGGTTATTGTACTCTTGCTAGTTGCTGCTGGCCAATGACTTGACCTTGACGCTATAATTTTTCTCCTGCTTTTCTCTTCTTTTTCTTCCTCCCCTCTTTAATACTACAGTTTTCCCATCCCGATCCCACGTATCAGTTTGCGTACCGCAAAAACCACTCCTGCGGCGATCTTCTCGCTCTGGTGGCAAATGATTGTCAAAGTCCAGACCAGAACGAGTATGTGGCTGCGGCTTTCCTCGACATGTCCAAAGCCTTCGACACTGTCAACCACAGTTTGCTCCTCCAAGAACTGTTTGAGGTTGGTGTGGGAGGGGTTGCACTGCGTTGGTTCGCATCATACCTTACTGACCGGCTGCAGAGAGTTGTCACCAAGTCTAGCAGAGGTGCCTGTTATTCCGCCTCCAGAGGTGTACCTCAACTGGCTCAAGGATCTATCCTTGGACCCGTCTTGTTCAATCTTGCTGTCCGCAAACTGCCAGAGTATGGTGCTAGTACCAAGGTCCGTCAGTTTGCTGACGATGTTTCTGTCTACAAATCCGGAAGAGATCCACAGAAGCTCACTGTAGACTTGGCCAGAGACGTTCTGTCAATCCGCAACTTCTCCGGGACCACAGCCACAACGCGGAAAAGACACAGTTCATCATATTCCGCCCAAAGTCCAAGGCGATCCCAGCTAATCCCCAAATTTAAATTGACAGCACTAGCATACCGCCTTCAGCCGCGATCAAAT